GTTTGGTGTGGATAAATGACTCCAGTTGAATGGGTGAAAACAAACCAACTCATACCCCGGGGGGCCGCCATTTATACAGCAGGGTTCACTCTGGATTCATTACCCAAAACATAGGAAAAAGACATGAATCCAGATCATGAACAAAAAATACTCCCACATCGGCCAGCCCATTTGCAGAATGGGATGATATTTAAGACTTCCCCACGGCACTCTGAAAAAACCACGCATTTTGCCCAGCTTCTTCGATGGAGCCGAAAAAAAGCGAAGCGCAAACTCTAAAAAGAAAATCACGTCGAAGGTGATCTGGGCCCCCTGAGAGCCGATGGTTGAAGAACCCCATTGAAATCATTGGGCTCCAGTATTGGTCAAGGGAGGAAGCATCATTCCAACTACACCCCAGAGGGAGACATCATAGATATGTATATATATATATATGTAAATATACATATATATATATATATATGTACATTATATATATATGTAAATATACATATATATACATATATGTGTAAATATACATATATACATATTATATATATATATTGTATATTATATATATTGTATATATTGTGTAAATATATTGTATATATATATAAATACAATATATACAATATATACTATATATAATATACAATATTATATATATATGTATATATTGTATATATATATATAGTATATATATATTGTATGTATATATATTGTATATATATATTGTATGTATATATATATATATATTTATGTGTATATATATTGTATATATATATTGTGTATATATATATATATTGTATATATATATATATATTGTATATATATATTGTATATATATATATATTGTATATTTATATATATTGTATATTTATATATATTGTATATTTATATATATATTGTATATATATATTGTATATATATATTGTATATATATAAATTGTATATATATATATATATTGTATATATATATTGTATATATATATATTGTATATATATATTGTATATATATATATATATTGTTTATATATATTGTATATATATATATTGTTTATATATATTGTATATATATATTGTATATATATATATTGTATATATATATATATTGTATATATATATTGTATATATATATATTGTATATATATATATTGTATATATATATATATATTGTATATATTGTATATTTATTGTATATATATATATTGCATATATATATATATTGTATATATATATTGTATATATAGTGTATATATATATTGTATATATATATTGTATATATATATATTGTATATATATTGTGTATATATATATATTGTATATATATTGTATATATATATATTGTATATGTATTGTATATATATTGTATATATATTTTATATATTGTGTATATATATATTGTATATATATATTGTATATGTATATTATATATTGTATATGTATATATTGTATATATATACATAAGTATACCAACCGGGCAGAAGCCCTTCTTCGTAGATTATTTCATATGTGTATATATATATATACATATGCGGGAACATCTATGTGTATGGCAAAAAAGAAAATATGTTTGACACAGAAAATATGACGGGGGTATACTGTAGATACTCACTGAGCTCCACCAAAAATTATGAGTTGGTCAATTGGGTAAAAAGAAAAATATCTAAAATCAAGAGTGTTTCCTGGAGCCACTTGTTTCAAATCAAAGATTTTGATAAGTATGTTCTGAAAATGCGAATATTGCCAAGGAGACATACGTTACACGTGGATGGATGGGTACGCCATTGACCCAAAAAACCATCGTTGCACCATGGAGGGGTGTCATGGGGCTTCAGTCATTGAGATTCAGGCTGTCTTAGACGGCCAGGTCAGCAGTGGTCATTAAAATGGTGGTTGCTTGATTGGGAATCTTCCAGCTGGTGAAAAATCTCATATTGAAATTATAGGGTTGTAGTATGAGGCACCCCAGGAACAGCCACCATCCAAGGGTCTTTGCTGATCCTATGCTCCGTCTTCTACTGTACGGTATAAGTGGTGACGATGGGTTGGATTGAATGCACAATTAGCTCGGCATTTTTTGATGAAACTTTTTGTGCTGGCATACTGCACTTAAACTTCTCTTCCCACTAAATACAGAAATTCTCTGAGATGGGGAAAGAAAAAACATGAATGCATATAGATCGTTGTTTTCCCGACAGGAACCATAGTTGTATTCCATATCTTGAGGGTAATGTCAGCCCCTGATTTTCATAACCTCTGTGGATTCATCGGGAGGTTAGTCCCACTTAGTGATGAAACTACTCTCATCAATTGTTACCCCCCTATTAGTAGCATGCTGGGAGCCCCAACACCCCAAATACAAACTGGCTAAATTGGCAAGATAGAGGTAAAATCACCTCGTTTTTTCCACCCTTAACACAAAAACAACGACCTTTTTGATGGGTTGGAGCAACCCTGAGGGTTTACCACTGTTTTGTTCCTGGCTTCCCAGCTCCAGTTCCAAGGAGCCCTACGCCAGAAGCCCTGGAGTACGACCTCTTCGCTAATGGAGTAGGTGGTTAGACCCACCGAAAACACCACCTGAGTCCGACTTTGTGGGGGCCGAAGGGCCGAAGGTGAAGGGTGAGATGTCGAATTTCATGGTTCAAGATGGCTTAGCCAAGAAAAGTTGGAGGATTTACCAACGAAATTTGTCCAAGAGTATGGGGAAATGTGGATATCCATGGATCTTATAAACAGAAATGGGGATAACAATCTGGTGGTGGGTTGGCCCAATCAAGGGTGGATGAATACCAGGATACCCCCAAAATGGCCGATTGAACTGGAAAAAGTGATGATGAATCATGAGATTTTGGAATATCCATGAACATCCCAGTTTCAAAGTTTTTTATCTGTTCAGTAATCTTTGCGACCCAACAGCAGTGGAGGTTGCGTCTATGGTTCCATGGGGCGCACTGCTGTCAGAAAAAAAGTGGGCCTGGGTATGGATGCGGTCAGCATGTTTCAAACTCAAGTTGAAAAGGTTAGTTGTCAAGTTGAAAAGGTTAGTTTCAAAACCCGGGGCCTGGCTGGCTTGGGGGGCAGGGGAAACAGACTAAATGTGAGGAAAGATGTTTGTTTTTGAAGGAAAGACAAACGTTTTGGGGAGGGATGTGAAATGTTAGTTGCTGGGTGCCAAAACAAAGGTTTCGGCCGGGAAAAGGTGTGTTTTCGGAAGGGAAAACAAACGTTTGCAGGAGAGGTTGTGGAATAATACAGAAACCAAAGTTTCAAAACTAGGGTTTTGAGTTGAAGAAAGAAAGGTTTCCAAACCGGAAGGAATGAGTTTGTTAGTTCCCGACCCCCGCCCCCTTCTGGGCTGCAACACAAACTTGTGCGGCGGCGAAAACGACGACGACGACCACCACCACGACCACGACCACGACCACGACCACGACGACGACGACGACGACAACAACAACAACACTGCTGTGGCGAGGTCAGTTTGTTTCTAGACGGAGGTCTCTGGCAGGCGGCATGCAAAGAGCATTTTGGTCGCAGCGGACAAGGGGGAGACGGCGCTGAAAAATTGACGGCACCATACAGCAGACATAGGCCGAGGCATTGGCGAGGCCGAGAGCTTGCAACAGACTGAAAGCAATTGATGGCGAGGCCGACAAGAAGCAAGCCGAAACGTTTTGTTCTGAGTCAGGAAATTTGAAACTGCCAGAAACTCGTGAAACAGCAGTTGTAGGAACGTGAAACTATAGTTTTGAAACAATGGTTTGTTGCACGGAAACAAACGTAGGAAACTAGGTTTATTCCCACGCGCAAAGCAAACTTGGTACCATGCGGAAAAGTTTGCTTTCCAAAAAGAAACGGAAACTAAGGCTTCGTCAAATAGTTGATATATTCTCCCGGTGGAAACAAACTCATCTACTGCTTTCAAACAAACATAACAAACCCCCTGAAAAAACTAACTAAACTTGCCGAAGGAAAGGTTGTTTGTTTTCAGGGTTTGAAACTAGCAGTGTTTGAGTTTGTTCTGAGGGGGTTTGAAACAAAAACTAACTTTTTAGCACGAAAACATATGTTTTAGTCATCAAAAACCTTTGTTTGAGAGCTCCGGGTTTTTCTTTTCTAGTAGGGGCATGTACTACCACAGGAAAAAGGTTAGCAGTCCCCTGGCAAAACAAACCTTTTCTTTCATTGGAAAACGTGTGTTTTCGAAAAAAAACAAAATAGAAAAAAACTAAACCCTGTGACCCTGTGCATGTGAAAACGTTTGTTTTTGCCTCAAAACAAACTCCTGGTTGCATCCCTACTGGTGGGCCTATAAGCAGATCTGAACAGATATCTGACAGGCGTTTCTCGGGAATTGTGATACTAAGGAGAACTAATATGCAGGTAAATTGATTGAAAAACAACGCCAACTGTTGGGTTCATGATACAGTAGATAGTATCTAAAGTTGGATGGTGTTTAGACCAACTTGCAGTTTGGGGAATCTAACTGATATCACTGATATCACTATCACTATCACTGACATAACCAACCAGAAGCTGAGACTTGAGCCACCAACAAACTGAAACCACGATGAAGACAACAGATGTGCTGGGAAATTGCCATTTTGAAATGTGTAAAACATATTCGGTTTATTGGGGCACCCTGGAGTAAACCAAACAAGTCCAGGTAATTCTGGGGCCTACGATTTTATGCTAGATGGTGGTTTGGATTTGTCTGAGAATTGGGTACCCCAGAACCCCCTGGTTCATCATAATTTTCCCCATTGCACGTTCCATTTTGGTTGATTTTGCGGCATCCCCCATTTTTACTTCGTTTCTGCGAGGTGAAATTGAAAGGGCGCAACGAACCCGCAGCTCCACATGGCCATATATGTTGTTGGTATACCTACATTTGTGAGTTGTATCAAAGCATACACCTACGTTCGTGGGCACATTGTTGATGATACTATGCTGAATTGTTAGTTTTGGGCTGAGAGATCTCAATACCACCTGTTGTAGGATGAGAACCATTGAAAACATTCGCATGAAATGTTCAGGAAAAAATAAAGAAGTGTTTTCGGTACAATATCTCGGCGGTTCGTGTCTCTACACCCATAATTTGTATCAATTTGTACATATTTTACACGCGTGTGTGGGGTCTAAAAAATATACTCGAAGCACAGCAGCCACTAAAAGGTGACCAATCAACCCATGCCTGCGATGGCTGGCTGTACACCAATACAACCTACGATGTCCCATCATTTTCTGCTGACATCCCAGTGTTTGTTGATTGATGTTGCTTGATTTTCTCTACATTTTTGTTGATAAAACACCCTAATCATTTTGTGCTGGCAAAATGCCCATGTCTAGTAGTAAAAACCTTACCATGTTTGATGTAAAAAAAACATCCCATGCTCATAAACAAAAAAAATGAGGATTATCATCCCACAGTGGGTCCCCATGCGGGTCTGAAAAACCAAAATGAATCAAATGGATGTCCTGATCATCCAAGCATCTGACATATTTGATCGTCATAGTTATATCAAAATGTATGTTATATATATATATACACGATATATATATATATGTGTATATATATATATATCGCGTATATATATATACATACATACGATATTTGTGTATATATATATATCGTAAGTATCGTGTAAACAATATATATATACTATATATATATACATTGTACGATATATATATATATCGTAAGTATCGTGTAAATAATATAAATATATATCGTAAATATCGCGTGTATAAACAATATAAATATATATATATACATACATCGTATATATATATAATATATCGCATACTTATATATATATATATCAATATATTGCGTAAAAAACAATCGTATTTATATATATATATAAATATCGCATGTATACATCGTATATATATATATACAATTTAAATTGTTTATATATATAAATCGTATACAAATATATCGTATACAAATATATCGTATATGTAAATATATATATATCGTGTATATATATATATCGTGTGTATATATATATATCGTATATAAATATCGTGTATATATACATATGTCGTATATATATATATACACATATCGTATATATAAATCGTGTATATATATATATATCGTATATCTGTATAATTCGTATATATATATATATTTGCTAATATATTTTTGTAAATCGCGTATATATATATATATATAGCGTGTGTAAATATTTATCGTGTGTAGTTTTTTATCGTATACATATATATATATATATCATATACATATTTGAATATCGCATATGTATATCATGTATATATAAAAACTATTTATAGTATCTATACATCGCATATATACATATATATCGCAAATATATATCGTATTTATCTCTCATATATGCAACGTTTAAATATATAGAGTTTATTTAAAAGAAATAAAACGCGTAAATATATATATATATATAGTATATACATCTAAATCGTCGTATATATATATATATGTCTCTCTCTCTATCTATCTATCTATCTATCTATCTATCTATCTATCTATCTATCTATCTATCTATCTATCGTGTGTGTAGATATTTCTTTATACTGTGTAAAATCCAAAAATACTGCTTATATATGTAAATGTTTCTAACTCTATATACATCGTAAATATGTACATCGTAGAAATATATATGTATATGTTTCTAACTCTATATACATCGTAAATATATGTACATCGTGTATATATACATATCGCATCCATATATATATATATATCGCGTATATATATATCGTGCAAATATTGATATATCGGATATATTTATATATCGTGTATATATACATATGGCACATATCTAAAAACAAACGTATATTTATATATCTCGTAGATACATAAATATATATATATATCGTATTTATGTATGTAAATAAATATATATATCGTAAATAAATATATAGTATTTATATCGTATGCATTTTTAAATTTGTGAATAGGATAGGTTTATATATATAGATATAGATATAGATATCGTATTTGTGTATCGTGTCTAAATATATATATATATATATATCGTATATATATATATTTATATTTGTATTTATGCCATATATATATATATATATCTATCTATCTCTCTCTGTATCGAACGTGTATATATATATATAATAGAGTTTATATTTAAATCTATATCGTACATATACTTATCCCAAATATATATACATATCGTAAATATATAGATATATATCGTAATATCTATCTATAAATCTATCGTAAATATATATATACATACATACATACATATCAATAGAATTCTTCCACATCGCATATATCAATATATCGCAGATATGTATATACATGTACATACATCGTATAGACATAAATAAATATGTATACTGTGTATATATATATATCTCTCGTGTATTTCAATATCTATATATATATATCGCATATATATATGTATATATCGTATATACTTATTTTTTGTTGTAAATATATATATATACGGTAAAGACATATTTCTATGTATATATGTTTATCGTATATAAGTGTGTTTATTTATATACATTCTTATCGTGTATTTGTAAACATATATATTTGTATACAAACATCATCCCGTGATGTCCCCATGATGCCTCACCAGCCACTCCCCGACTCACCAAGTTGCCGCGAATTTCAGGAACTGTGAGATCAGCCAAGCAGCCTTGCTGGACCTGACATCGGACGAGGTCCGTCACTTCGCGCGGGGCCCGATAAAATGACGTCTTTGAATTAGTTTACTAAGCTTGGCTCAATGTATCACTTTTCGTGGTTCGCAATGTTCGCAAGGCGAAATTCATCGCAAAGCTGAAGAAAACAGTGGAATTGTGGTATCAGTTTCTTGTTTTTCCTGTTCTGGGTGTTTCAATCCCTGGTCTTGCTCAATACATGTTATGTTTTTCTACGTATGTTGTGTTTCTTTTCGTTCATCTTAAATCTTATACTTATGGTATGTATGTATGCATTTATGTATTTATATACATATATATAAATGCAAATGTACACGTATATTATCATGCGTGTATGTGTATATATATATATATATTCCGAATGGGTTTCCCAATTGGTTTTCCACATCCTTGGTTTACCCTGATGGCATCCCGTTACCTCACCTGGGATCGTCCAAGAGCTCCCAGACCCTATCTGCTCGAGATTGTTGCACCATCCTCGCCGTGACGAGTTTCTCCCAGGAGACGCGGCGTTTCATGATTCATATCGGTTATCTAATAGGATTTTACGCATACATTTGCAGTGTTCAAAATCCCTCTATCATTCCATTATACTGGTCGGTTTTTAGAAATTCCCCTGTTGGATTATTGTAATCCCCAATATATTGGGTGGTATAATCCCCCATAATCATCAACCAACAGAGGTTTTGAACACTGCTCATATGCTATATAGATATATAATGTGTGGTTTTTTGTAGGTACAATGTATGTATATGTGTGTGTGGGGGCGTTCTCTCATCTATATAAACCTTCTATTGTCTGATGGTGCATGGATCTATTGCCTATACATATTTCTACATATATCAGATTGTAACTTGAAATCATGATGAAGACAATACTACAACCAAAAAAAACGGACAATACAATGTAACACAATATCATGTAACTGTATGCTACTTTAATGTTAAAGACCACGCGCGGACTCTCATGAGGTCACAAGGTCACAGCGAACAGTGACCGTTGTGGTTTGTTCAGCGCCTTAAACAGGCCTGGAAAGATCCCCGGCCGACCGCACAGGTCGCCTAGAGGTAAAGGCGGCAAGCTGTTTTCCCATCGTTTTGACAGTACAGCTGCCTAATCTAAGACTGATGCCGTGCTGTGGTGGCACCATACCAAGGGTGGAAAGATCAAGGCGGTCCGCCCATTGGATTTCAAAATCAAAAGCAGCTTCAAGTGACTGGAAAAAATTCTGAGTCGTCTTCAGAATCGCGGCCACTGTAGGTTTGCCCACCATGGAGGTGGGAAGCATCTGAGCATCAACCCAGTGAAGTTTCCTATTCGGGTCTGGCTGTGGCAGTCTGGTGGGGCAAGATGAATGGCAACCTCAACTAAAGACACTTTGTATGTCACCGCATCCTCAATCAATGTCTTCTCCCCGGAGCCACTCAATCATGCCCTTTGTGAACACATACCCAACTTCTCAACCATCTGCACAATGCCAATGTCTGGTCCTGGCAGCAATGGTAAATCTCGTTGGCATGGAACATTGTGAAGACAAAGACGTTGACCATCTAGCCCGTCGCCTTCACCTGAATCCTGCTCAATGTCATACTCATTGGTGTTCTCGGAGACCTTGGCGTGAAAGACCTCTGCAATCATAAAGTGAAAGTCCGCCAAGCGATTCATCAGTGCTGTCTGTTTGTGATAATGTTCCAACATTCGTGTCCTCAATGTTTCCCGTTCAGGAGTTCGTAGGGGGTGTGCTGCTAATGCCTCATGGTCAGCTCTGCTGTTCCAGCATGCTGTCCAACTATCCACATCCATTGCCAGTCTCTCAGAGTGGCGGTGTGAACTGGCATGCTGCACAAAAACGCGGCCTTCTTGTCCATGTAATAGGCGTTGCATCTGCTCCCAGGCGTCAAAGTGCATGTTGCGTGGGATGTCATTGATGTTGCGTAGTAGTCGCACACCCCCGGCCACATATGCATTGTCTGACCAAAGAGTAGTGATGCCCTGGTTCAAAACTGCATACCGCACCGCTTCATGGATTGCAACCAGTTCAGCTCTGTCACTGGTCTGCTGCATTCCTTCCACTGTACCTCTAACTATGACTTTGTCATGTGTAGCACTGACCGCGGCCCAGGCAGCTGCCCAAGGTGTGGAGGGGTCAAGGCAGGAACCATTAGTGAAGATGTCCAAGGTGACCATTGAGCTCAGCTTGCTAACTCCAATCCGCCTAGCTGTGGCCGCAGAGAGCGCCTCCTTGTACAAAGCTTCATAGGGATCCCTGGAGGGCAAGAGCCTCAAAGCCATGGAGCTGGGAATTTCATTCCACTGCCTGGTAAGGTCATCACGTTGATTCAGGTGAGTTAAGTGATTTTCTGAAATACCCCAGACTCCAGTAGGAAGTTCATAGTAAAACTCTTCTTTGCCCCGAAGCCCCCTGGGGTTAGTTGTTCCAATCCAAATGTCTGGTCCAGGGTGCATGGCTTCACCTATCCTGAGCACTTTGCAGCAAAAGGCATAGGTTTCTCCGCTGAGCAACCACAGGCCAAAAAACAAAGTGGGTTTCCTCCACATCCCCACCATGTACAAGTGATCATGTGAAGGTGCCATCCGATGAAAAGGAACATCTCCACCAGTGCTGCCATCTGCATCACGGTGTCCTTCTTGAAAGCGACCTTGCTCCAAGACATGTCTGACTCCTGCTTGTTCATCTTGGATGCTGCGTTGAACGTCCAAAGCGCTCTCTTCAGTGTCATCATCGCCAACATAGACCTGCAAAAAGCTGCCTTCCTCAACGTGAAACCTTGTGCCATGCAGAACGTGTTGTCGGTCTACAATGAGCATACAATCTTCAGTTAAGCACATCTCCTGTAAACTGATCAAGGCATGGAACTCCATCTCCTCCATCTGAAGTGGCAAAAATCTGGACTTGAATTCTACCTCTGGGAGAAGGCCGCCGTGCCCCTTAGCTCTTGACGCAAACGAATCTCGATGAGACAAAGTGCATCTTGCTCAAAACGTGATTGGTGACTTTCCAGGCGAATACCAAAATGCTGAGCCAAACCATCAAGATGAGAACTGTCTGCATGTTGGATATGCACGAAATTCCAGTTCTGCTCCTCGTTGCTCAGCAAGTAGAGCCTATACACATCCAGTTGTAGTTGCTAAGCAAATCGAATGAATACCCCATCATTGGATTCCGGGAGGAAGGTTGCCAGCTGCTAGTTGTAAATGTCCCCCATGTTGGTGAACTCATGAAGGTCACTTCCTGTTTGGTCACCTGTCACTTGTAGTACTTCTTCCACTCTATTGACTGCATGAAGCTGTAAGAAGTCTCCATCAAAAAGACGAAGTGGATATTCATATGTCCATGGTGTGATGACTTGCCCATTATGTTCAATGGGACCAGGTGAGAGGTCGCATCTCCCTTGGAAATCTGTGTTCTGAAAGATCTCCTTGATCACTCCTTGTGTGTGTCATACACAAACGCTCTCAAACTGGATGTTGAAGCATGCCCATTGCGCGGGTTCCAAGTGCGGAGGTTCCATCAACACTACAGAGCGCTGACCCAATCCGGTCGGCCTGGTTGAAGATCCGGCATTCTGATAAGGTTCTCCTCAATCTCCCTCATGGTGGTCTCTGCTGTGACTCTCATGCTGATGGCTTCACACCTCCCTGTGTTGCCAGGATCAGGCCTGAAAATCCACCAGTTTTGATCACCTGGGAAAGCTTGAAAAGCATGAAGGTTGTCAGGGTCATAGATCAGCTCTTCATCAAAATCATGCTCTCCATCCATGTCATGATCCGCATGATCAAGAGGTTCAACTTGATCCTCCTGCGTAGTGGCCATCAAGCGAACAGCTCGCAAAGACTGGTCCGTAAAGGACAATTCTTCTGTCTTGCCTTCCATGACAACGGAATGATAAACACCAAAGCCAAAGCCCCCATAGATCTTGGGTGTCATGTTGTCCTTGGTCAGCACCTCCTCTGCCTCTGCGAACGGAATCAAAAAGCATCCAAAAGCAAAGAATCGAAAGAAGCATCATCTTTGTCCAGCTCCATGCGGTTCTTTGCGCCGAAAAGTCTGCGCATCGTGATGAAGGTTGGCAGCCTTCATCGCGCACAAATAGTCAATCCTGAACCCGCTGTCTCTTGGACAGCAGGGATTCCTTGTGCATGAACCCAGGTTTGATCTCTGCTGAGAGCGCCGAGACATTTTGCTACTGCTGTCCAAGCTGCGTGGTCAATGTGCCCACTTGATTTTGCACGCGCTGTGTGGCTGCACCTGCATCTGGAAACCATTGTTCATGTCGTTGGTTTTGATTCTTGATCTCGGCCATGTCAACTTACAACTTTTGGAATCGCTCTTCATTGGAGGTTTTGATGGATTGAGCAACCCTCTCTTCACAGACTCAATCATAGACTTGGCATGCATGGGCTCATCCTCCATTGCGGCTGATACTCTTGATGGCTGCCAAGTTCTCCACGGGTCAGTCTGGCTCCGAGGGTTAGGTTCCGCTGCGCCCATGGTTAGAGAAGTGCTCACCACCTTGGGTTTGGCATGCTGCGGAGTCGACTGGGGTTCCTTCTGGATTTTGCGCAGATAGCCCTGAATTTTGGCCGAACTAGTCAATGTCACATAGCTGTCACCTTCTGCATGAGAACGGTGCAGCGAGATCATCATGTCCCCTGCATCGGTGGCCATGATCATTTTGGGAGGCTCCTCCGCCACTCCGACCAGCCAACCCATGCTCAGTGAGTCCGCTTTGCAGGGTTGTAACGGATGCGCCTTCCAACCCAAGGCTTTGAGCATAGAGAGTACCCCAAACTTCTGTGTACCATGCAGAAGGGGTCTGATCTCGTAAGTCTTGCTGACCTCAAAGTTTGAGAAAGGAAAGGGATCTCCGGGCTGATCTGGACGTGAATGGACTCAGCCTGTTTTGTGGGCACATGCACACTATATCTGCTGCCAAAACGAGCAACTGCAATGCCATTCTCAGTGATCTTGAGCTTGTGCATGGCTTCCTGTAGCGTTCCATTCTGAACCACTGAGGATCCAGAGTCAACACCACGCCCTTCTGTCTGTCTCGGTTCCACATAAAGACCAAGAGTACCACTCAGCCTCTGCTTCATCAGAGAAGCCGGAACTCCAAGAGCACATGGAAAATGTCAGACTCTTCACCAGGCACCCTTTTCTCACGCGGTGACAACCATGACCTGGCCCAGACATCAAGAATGACAGAGTCCAGTTCAACATCTACTGGGGCATGATGCTTGGCACATCCTTTGCCACGTTTCGTGCACAAGGTCTGTGAAGGATGGTTCTGCGTGGTGCTTTGGTGAGCGCAATCCAATCTTCCGGCCAGTCGTCTCTGTATTGTGCCAACTTGAGGACGCCCGTTTCAATTGCGGTGGTCTCAATGAGTTCCTTGTCTCGCTTTCTGATCACAGTAAGATCTCCCGAGTTGACAAGAGATCCCTCCAGCAACACAGGCTCTTGCGTGGGAATGTAACAGCAGGATATCTCAGATTGATCACAGGTAAAAGCCCCTGTTCTGAGGGCGGGATCCTACTCGTTGTCAGGACAGTGAGCCCATCAAGAGAGATTGATTTCCCTTCTTGCAAAAATGCCAGCACATCCACCACCTGCGCAAATGCCAGTCCAGCTCTGTGTGCCGCTACCTCCTGCATTGGGAGCTGAGTGACTGCAGTTCCATTCTCCAGTGTGAAGGTGCCCTCAATGAGCTTTAATTGATTCGGAGCCACATCGCAAGCCTCCAATTTCTGCTTCTGGACCTTGCTCTTCTTGTCAGATGCCTGCACCTTGAACTTCGATTGGGCACGTTTTCGAACCTGTGATTCGAGTTCATCTGCCTTGACAAACATGAAGTTCACCATCGGCTGAGAGCTCAATGTTTTGAGTCCTTGCCAGGGATTTCTCGATCCCAATGCTTCACGTAGCTTCTGGCTGCCAATCTGTCCAATGCGGCACGAGCTCGTTCTTCTGTACGATGTTCCGGTACTCCATGATCTTGAAACATGCTTCTCAAAGGACAAAGAACGTCACGATCATCTTGAGCAAAGTCTTTCCCATACGCCAAAAGATTGCCTGCTGGGAATGCCTTCAACAACGTCATGTGGAGCTGAGTCTCATCAGGATGCTCTGCTTCATTCCAGAGGCCCAGTCTTTCACCTAGATGAAGGATGGCCACCGTGCCGCAGGTTTGGCTACACATCTGGGAGTAGCATTGCACCTTTGTCACACGGCATGGCGAGATTGCCAGAAGCTGACCCAGCTTGTTCGCAAAGTTCAGAAGATGTTCTTGGAGTGTTCCTGCCCATCCATGTGAAGCATGTGAAGAACTCCTTGTTGATAAAAGATTCCAGCAAGATCCAATGTCGTTTGTGCAATGGCCATGAAAAGATGTCCATGTAGGGCTGCAAGTGCCCAGTGTGCAAAGACCATCTGAATGTCCTTCTGCAGAAACCACTCTGTTGCCAAAGCAGCCGGCATCCAGTAATGGCTCATTGTTTTGCCGGCTTCCCGAATGAGCAAGTTGGCCGTCAAGTCCATGCATAGGTCAGATAGTCCTCCAACTGGAGCGTCCCCTTGTCTCATGCCTTCTGCTTGAATGCGAGGCAATGCCATCAGGAGAGCATCATTCCACATGCGTGAGTCCATGTCAAGACGGTTTCCCAGTTCATCTTGAAGTCGATGTCCCTTGCACTTCACCTCTAGGGTCAATGCCGCCTCAAAGACAAAGGTTCCCAGTGGGAAGATGCCCTCTTTGATCTGAAGGATTCATCTTGGGTTTGAAGGAATGCAATACGAATGACTCCCTGTTGACAGATTTTCCTCTGTTTCTTTGGCCTTTGCATCATGGTATAGTGCCTTGCAATTGGGGCCCTTTGCATGAGATATTCCTCATTCAAGACACCCATCCCATCTCGCACTTGAGTCTTGAAGCCTGGAAGTTGCCATTTGGTTTCAGCTTTGATCACATCAACGACCTTCTGGTCCGGCGCAACATTGATGTTCATCACCTTCTGATGCAGCTGGTCATAGATCGGAATCTCGCACTTGGTCTCCTCAAAGGTGAAGACCCCATGAGCGTCTCGGAAAAGAAGTGTTTGTTAGTTCAGCAGTGCTTGTTGTGCAGATCCATGAATGTTTTGCACAGTATGGTCCATGATGTTGCAATCCATAATGCTTGCACTGGAGCTGCACATTGACCAGTGGGGCACAACGAGTCTCTTGGTACATGAGGGAATCTGGTGCTTGGCAAGATGGTGCATAGGTATGCCGCTTCCATGACATGCAAAAACCACTCTTTGCTGCTGTTGCCCATGAAATAGAAGCCACGAATGCCAACACGTTGCAGCCTCCACATGCTGAACTTGCCTCTGCAGCCACAAGGACACTCGCGCAAAACAGAGCCATAGGAGTGCAGGATGCATGGCGCTGCCTGATTCATCCTCAAATGCCTGATGTCATTGCCATAAAACTTGCTGTGGAACATGTTCAATTCCTCCTCATCAAGTTGAAGTTCACGTTCAACCTCATCTGGCCAGACTGGCCATCTGGCAAAGATATACTCCAGGCTCGGATATGGTGATGCGCCTGGAAGATTGCTGATGTCATGCATTTGGCATCCTGACGGGATAAGAAGAGCCCACCATCTGGATCTCCTGCAAGGCCAAACAGCATGCAAATGCAAAATCCTCTGCTTGATCTCCATGTTCATACTCCAACTGAGCTTCTGCAATTCGTTCTGCACGTACTTGGCCTGCAAAGCTGCGGGTACACATTCCAAAAGGGGGCCATCTGCTTGTTGCGCCCAAGCGGGTTTCATGACGTTCTTGAAGACGTCAGCCCTTTGATCCCATTCACCCTTCATGTCTCCTTGGGTGGAAAAGGGTTGGCATGGGAAGCCACTGAAGATCCAACCTCTTGTCGCTTCATGACATTGAACACTATGTCGAACCTGTGCACTGTTGATGTCGCCCTGGAAGATACTGAAGTGACCATTTGCCTCAAGGGTAGTGCAACCATGTCATTGATGTCCAGTAGGGCGAGGCACTTCATCCCTAAATACATCGCCCGCATGCCAATGCCGCCAATGCCGCTCGTCACCTCCTTGAATGGTGTCAAGTCAACCATGTCATTCGATGGGATGTACTTGTCCAGCACATAGGACTCACTACCTTGGGACTCCTTTACATCGTAGAGGGTTACCTTCTGAAGTGGTTCCAGCGCTGGACCCATCAACCGCACTGATTGCAGGCGCGCCGATGTGATCAGTGCACCGTCAGGATGCACTTCCACCACGCCGCTCCATAGTTTTCCGCAGCTGCCCTCGCACAGCAACGGATCCATCTTGAAAACCCATCTGTTGTTCCTACGTCAACTTTCTGGGGGGGTCGAGCCAAGAGCTACTGTTAAAGACCAAAAAACATAACATATTAATATATGATAATATAATACCATACAGTATCATATTCACGTTACATCATATCTTGTGAAAAATTCACATCCGCTACGTGGGCGGCAGATCAACGGTCGGATCCTCGGATTCTCATCATCAAAATACTGGGTTTTGTGTGACGCCACCATCAAAAATCATCATTTTGAGGGATTTGACATAATTTGACTATGAAATATATTGCGACATGGTGGCTTAACCATCAAAATTTGGTGGATTTATCCAATGAATGTTTCATGGTTTAATAGAAATACAACTGGATATGACGGGATATACAACCGATATTTAGGTGTGCCTGAAATTGGGAATTTCCCCCGATTTCGGCACTTGTTCATTGTTTAAAATGATGATGCATTGATATTGGGGGTACCCCATTTTCAGACAAACCCAGATGACCATCAATCACTCGCTAAGTGCGGCTGCTCCATTTTCGAGGGATCAGCTCCAGAAGAGCTCGATTGCAACACAAATGGCGTGCCGCCTTGTCTGAAAGTATTATTCCTATTACAAAAAGGCTATATATTGGAGGTAGTTTTTCTATGTTCAGACCCACATCCCTGCAATTGGCCCAGCCCAGGAACCGCAGAAAAGGCTTCATGTCTGGATCATTCATGGCTTTGATGTCCTGGAGAACTGGCAACTGGCCGAGGTAGAACGCTTCCAGTGGAGTGGTTCTTTGTTTCATCACAAGAAATAAACCATTGCCTCTCCGGTAATCAAAATGTCCCAATTAGTTCGATGATTTCCCAATAAAACCTCCATTATATTAGGACTTTCCCATTGCCACATTTGATTACCCGAGGGTACCTAGTTAGAACACTTCGAACTGCCGGTGGGAACCTGGGGTTTTACACCGGGAAGTGGCGCCAAAGGCCCTGTAGTCGGATGATCACATCATGAAAGAGTCGATAAAATGGCAGGAATGATGGAAATACCATAAAATACTTCCATCATGGTTGGGTTGAAATCCCTTCCGTGTTTTTTGAACCACCACTTCATAGCAATTCAAGCTCTGTTTGAATCCCGGAGCCAGACCCAGATGTAATTAATGGGCGTGTCTGAAAATGGGAGATACGCACAGTTTATGACCATTTCAATGGGATAAAATGAGAATATGACTAACGTTCAATCATAATCCCTGAGCCGCTGGATTTAGTTGACAAGCCTATTGGATTTAGTGAACCGTTGATGTCATCCAAATATTCCCTCTTCACCTCGTTCGATATACCCTGAAATTGAAGTTCAACACAAATTGAGCTCATATAAATCACATGAAATCCCATCGTATCCCATGAAACAACCCCCCGTCGGCCTTGCACACCTGCTGGGCGTGTAATCTCCGGGCCACGTCCAGGTCCATGGCTTTAAACCCCCTCGGCGAAAATCGAGCAGGGCTATCAAGATTTTTTACGTGTATATATATATATATATCTTTACACACACACATATATATAGATAGATATATACATACACATAAATACATATATACATATATTCATTTAAACATATTTCCATAGATACATATATACATAAATACATATATACATAAATACATATGTACATATATACATATATACAAAAATACATATATACATATATATATACAAATATATACATATATATATATACATATACATATATATTTATATATATGTAATACATTTATGTACATATATATGCATATATCTGCATATAAATACATATATATATACATATAAATACATATATATACATTTATATACGTATAAACATATAAACAAATAGGTTCATAAATACATCAATACATATACATATTTACACATAAATATACACATATACATATATATAAACAAATACATATTTACATATATACATATATTTTTACATATATATATATATCAACATATACAAATATACAAATATACATAAATACATGTATACATATATATACATATGTACATTTATATATATATACATGTATATCTATTTATATATACATATATATATATACACATATATACATATATACATATATACATATATACATTTCTACAAATATATATATATACATATACATATGTACATATTTACATTTATACGTATATATGCATATATTCATATTTACATATATATATACATCTATATACATACATACATACATACATACATACATACGTACGTACATACGTACGTACGTACATACATACATACATACATACATACGTACATACGTACGTACTTACTTACGTACTTTACATTACATAACATTACATTACATAATATTACATTACATTACAGTACATTACATTACATTACACTCATACATACATACATACATACATACATACATACATACATACATATATATATATATGTGTGTGTGAATTGCGTGTCACACAATTGACATTTACATGTTTCATTTGTATCCTCCTGCCTCTTTTTATGGCCTAAAGGAGGGTTTTCTCATGACACCATGCCGAATGGCGTGCTGTGCAGCCGGAAAAGGCTGCTGATGCTGCTGAGCCTTGCCGCACTTCGCGTGGCGGTGGGACCGATTGGGTTTGGAAGCTGCCTAATCAACATTGGTAGCGGAGCTTCTGCTCCGTTGCCTGGGACTTTGGGACCTACAGCCTGGACACCAACACCATTCTTGCCGAGACCTATGGCATCCCAAGCTGCTGGATCTGTGGCGGTTGTGGGGGACGCAACCAAGGATTCATACATACCACTGTTTTCGAATCGCCCCCAAGACTACAAAGAATGGTGTCAGAGAATCTGCTTTGTACAAGAAAAAGCTAGATATTCAGAAGAAGCCGAAAGAAGCCACCCTGAATTTGCTCACCTCGTTGTCTGGCCCTTCCTGGCGACAGGTTGAACATCTTGTGGGCAAAATGCGGACGACGAGACCGATGGCTTCGAGCAAGTTCTAGCCCAGCTGGACCGATGCTACAAATATGATGATCGAGTTGAGATGCCACGTGCCCTGAAGAAGTTCTTCTATGGATCAACTCGCCGTGGTGACCAAAGCCTACTGCAATACTGTGCTGATCATCGAGAAGCCTGCAGATAGCTGGAGAAGCACAAGATAGCTAATTATTCCAGATAGCATCAGTGGATGGCTCCTACTTCGGAGATCAAGTTTGACCTACGAGCAGCGGCAGATGGTTCAAACCCATTGCGCCAGCCTGGAAGAGAACAAAGTGGAGGAGTCTTTGTACTACCTGTTTGGCCAAGACTACAAAGGCAGAAGCGATGTGCGATGGGGAGCAAATGCCACTCCTGCGAAACTTCAGAGTTGGCCTCGACGACAGCAAGCCTACAACGCCGAGGAGATCTATGAGCTTGATGACATGGACCCCTTCGAGGACAACTATGCCAATGAGTATGAAGACGCGGAGGAGGTCTACTATGAGGACGCCACTGAAGGCGACTATGAAGCCTCATGGGATGGACAGCCTGCGGAGGAGACTGAGGATGGCTACTATCAGAACGATGAATTCTCTGGTGACTTTGATTGTGCCCTGGAGGAAGCCTATGCTGCCTACCTTGACGCTCGACGTCAATTTGCAGACCTTCGTGCAGCTCGTGGGTTCTATCCTGTGGTTGCTTTGGCGCCGGATGCATCACCGAGCAGTTCTGGACAATAACATCCAGTTTCTCCAAGCTATGGCAAAGGCAAGATGAAGTCAAGGGGAAAAGGGAAATCAAAAGGGTCAAGTTCAAAGGGCAGAGGAAAAAGTTCCAATCCACCAAGAAAGGGTTCACCTGCCTCAAGGGCATCAGCCTACTTTGGGGGATCTGCCACTGCCAACTGTTTCATTTGCGGCAAAGCTGGACACCTTGCAGCTCAATGCCCAAGCGGATCACCAGCCTCGAAAGGAGCATCTTCCGGCTCTCCCTCGAAGAGGACTAAGACAGCCGATGCGATGATGGTGACCGACACGGCTATGCATGCAGATGAAGGCATTCCTCACCTTAGCCCTAAAGGTTGGTTTGGGATTCAAGATGGTGGAGCATCAGAATGGTGGAGCATCAAGCATGGTGATTGGGCACAACACTTTGATGAAGGTGATTGACCACATGGGTGAGCGTGGAGTGAAAACCTCCAGATTCTTGTTCCACCCCACGGACAAGGCCTTTGCATTTGGAGGTAGTGCCCGCCGTGAAGCACTATGGTCAGTTCGTTTGCCGATCTAAGTGCAGAAGCAACATGGCTATGTGGAGTGCTCTGTGGTTGAAGGGGACACCCCCCTGCTCATTGGTCGCCCAATTCTATCAGCTTTGCAGGTGAAGACGGACTTTGCCACCAACGCCATCTCTGTCCTCAGCAATGATTGGAAACCTGCAGTGGTTGGCGAGCGCGGAGAATATCTACTACAACTTGATGATGGCGCTGCTGAAGATCCTGATGTTCAGACGATTCTCTTTGACTACATGACTGACGAGACCTTCGGCCACTTGCAGAACAACAAGGACACTTCAAGCTATGTCACCTTGCTGGACTATTTGACCGCAACTGGACGACAAGCTCCAGAGAAAGTCTTTTACCTCAACTATGTTGGAACAGCGGCTTTCAGTGCAGAAGAAGCCGTGGTCCCAGAGCTGACTGAGCCCAAGGACATTCGACGCGAGATCACCAACAAGCTGCTGAAGTCCATGTACATGCACTTCAATGCCTGGGGCAACAAAAGAAGGCGAACTTTGGAAGAAGTTCTGAATGCCCACACAACTGGCCGCCGAACGTTTTGGGAGGTCTACAGTGGTGACGCTTTGCTTGCCCAGAACTTTTCAGAGAATGGATGGACGGTCAGAACGTTTGACATTGCCAATGGATGGGATTTGGAAGTTGCGGCGACACGCCGTGAGTTTCTGGCCCTACAAGATGCAGAATGCCCCGATTTCATTTGGTATGCCCCTCCTTGCAAGAAGTGGTCAACGCTTGAGAACCTCAACTTGCACACCTTGGAGCAGATTGAGGCCCTTGAAGCTGAGCGTGACTTTTTGGAAGCCACCCACTTGGCCATGTGCAAGAAGAGTTTCATGAAACAGAAACGTGAAGGGCGACATGCTGGTTTGGAGCATCCTCGCTATGCAGTTTCATGGAAAACAAGAACTATTAAGTCTTTTGAGGCAGACAGCCATGACAGCTTGCTGGATCAGTGTGAGTTCAACACCCGTCTTACTGATCATCAAGGAATTTGGCAACTGATTAAGAAGCCAACACGTCTGCGATGGTCTGCATTCCAGCCTGCCCAAAAGATGTCACTCCTATGCCAAGGAAATCATGAGCACCTGCCCATCGAGCGGTCCAGCCCAAAGATTGGCAATCGAGCCCGAGCTTCGGGATCATACCAACAAGGCCTATGTGATGCCATCTTTCAGGTGGTGAGCCAACTGTATGAAGATGAAGCCACTGACGAGGCCTATGTCAATGAAGATGATGACATGCAAGAGGAGAACGAGGACTTCCAAGTGGAAAGTTCACAGCATGAACATGGAGAAGAAGAACAATCCCCTGCGCATGACTCTCCGGTTGCACCTAAAGGTGATGAACGACCGCCACCACAACATGGAGTTCTTGGACGCCTACGTGGAATTGCTGCCCAAGATGTGAAGCGCACCATCACGCGCCTTCACAGGAATCTTGGCCATCCTACCAGCGGTTGCAAGCCCTGAGATGATCGAAGGTGCCAAGACTCACAAACGCACCACATGTGATTTGCACAAACGGCCCATTGGCCATCCAGTTTCTTCAGTGCCCAGAGCCACGCAGTTCAATGATCGAGTTCAAGCTGATACTCTTTGGGTTCATGTGCCTGGACGCAAGAAAGCCACTCCAGTTTTGGTGATGAGCGATGCTACAACACGTTTGGTTGCTGGACGTGAACTTCGTGCTGAATCCTCTGAAGAGTTCATCAAGCAGCTCGAGCGTGGCTGGGTCCGAAACTTTGGCCCTATGAAGAAGTTGTTTGCGGATGAGCACAGAGCCTGGTGCTCAGATGCAATCAGACTTTGGTGCACTGAGAATGCAGTTGACTTGAAGATAAGCCCTGGTGAAAGCCATACCAGATTGGCGATTTTGGAGAGGAGACATCAGGTGGTTCGACGTGCCTTGACCACGTTCCTCACCGACAACTCTGCCATTGCTGCGACCCCAGAGGCTGTCATCACTGCCTTGTGCTACGTGATTCCTCAAGTCAACAGGATGCCAAATGTTTCAGGTTATTCACCAGTTCAATGGGCAATGGGATACACCCCACACATACCTGGTTTGTTGATGGAGGAGCAGATTTCACCTGCATACTTGGATCCAACAGAAGCTTGTCGTGAGAAGCTGGAACTTCAAGCTTCAGCTGCAAAGGCATTGAACGAAGCCAACATCGACACACATCTT